CCTCATTTCTCTTTCCTTCTCTTGAAATTATCACTTAGAAAGAAAATTCTATCATAATTAAAAATAAAACCTTCAGAAATTTATATTTTGCCTCAGTAATCAGTATGCTAAACCTCCATGAAATCTCAGTGACAAGCAAAAGATGTCCTGATTGTGGGAAGTAGTATCTGGAAGGAATTTTACTGTAGTGATGTGGTAACTAGTTAGATCGTACCACTCAGCAGGGGGCTACATATGTTATGGGATGTGAGGTCACATCAAAATTTTCAGAACAGTAATGTAGAAAATACCACAATACCTAGATGATGCCCGTCAGTGGATATCTACAGTTAGAACTTCAGTGTTGCCATGAAACTTCCCATCCTCTGTAGCCCTCCTAGAAGAGTGTCCTGAAAAAAGTGGGAGTCAAAACCTGACACCCAGTAAAACCTGAAAGGAAACACTGGTAAGGAATTAGGGTAACCATACCTTCACAAACCACATTCTCCAAAACTTGCTTCTACTTGTTCTGCTCTTGGGGGAGCTGGATTCAGGGAAGCATTTGTTGCCCTTTTACCTTTTCATAACATTCATTTCCCAAAGTTTGCATTAGTGGCTTACAAGTCTAGTTACCTTGAAGAAACAGATGGTGAAACCAGGGGAGACAATGGCTCTCATTTGAAGGTACCAGGAAAAAGAGTGACAGATCCCTAGGATGCTCATGTCTTCAGAAGAAGGATGGGTTCAACGCTTGCCCAGTTGAACCTCTCCTGCAGGGGCAGGAGAGAAACATGCCAAGCTAATAAAAAAAAAAAAAAAGGTGGATTTGGTAAGTTTTAGTTGGAGCTGCGAGATGTCAGAACTCGTGCAAACCGGATTTGGTTTTTTTCATTAAGCTAAACTGTAAAAAGTATAATTGCTAATGGATGTTCACAGGACCAGACTGGAGCTTGCCAAAGGTATAGGAAGCTTTTCCCTGAAATACACGTACAGCAGGTAGCACGTCCTACAAATTTGGCCCCATTGGTCTTCTTAACTTGCTAGCATAGATGTACTGTGAAAGGTTCACTTCTGCTGTATTTGAGTACCTGACATCTGCAGTAACCAGACACATACACTTTTGATGAATATTTATATGTATACCTATGTATTTATATAGTTATACCTCTATATGTAGAAATAAAATATATTACATATTATCTAATACAAATTCTGTGATATACAGAATATTTTACATTAGTATTGTCTGAAAAAGTTGTTTCAATAAAATCAAGCATTTTTACAAAACCATATTGGTCTGAAAAAAAGCCTAGCCCGCTGTCTTTAAAAAAATCCTTCTCATGTGTTCTATCACTTTGATCTCATATTTTGAATTTTAAGGGGTTTTTTAATATGTTTTGAAGCAATTCTACATTAGTTTGTGCTGTAGTACGAGTAATGTAAACTATGCATGTCACACGTCAACTATGAATGCCTGCCTAACTTTTTGACTAGTCTATTAAATTTAAAAATTTTGTTCATAAGCATTAATAATAAAATCACTGAGTACTGACAGAAATATTTTTGTTGATTTCTGACTGGATATGGGTTCATAATAATAAAAGTTTGAAATACTGACAAATCATGCACTATGCACACCAGTAATTTAAATATTTCATAACTTCGATTTTTTGTACCTTTTATGACCATTTTATGATAAGAGAAAAGCTTTTTTTTTCCTTTTTTTTTTTTTTTTTTTTTCCCCTTAGGAGAGGGAAACAGACTGTTTGTTGAAAATCAATGGTGGTTGAAACAACCACTAATAGGCTGTTTCAACCACCTCCATAGGTTATGAAGACACTTCCTATAGGACTAACTAGTAAAATTCTCGTGTTAAATTTGTTTAACCAAATTTCATATTAAAGAACAGACAAAGAACATGGCAAACTCCTTAATATTTGCAGCTCATTATTTAATATCTTGGGAGCATTTGATCTTTATAAAAGTGTTCATACTTAAGTTATGTCACTTAGAAATGTCTTCATAGGAAAAATAATGTGTCACAAATAGGTGAGCTCATTTGATATTTGTTTACATATGTATGTAATTTATGTAAGAGAATTTGACAAATTATTTTTTAGCTGACTTTAAAAATAATAAATTGATATTGTTATATTTATTATTAATATGCATTATTAATATGCAAGTCAAATGCATTTAAAATCCTGTATTTATAAACATATCTATGCATTTATGTGTTTTTACCTCTGTGTGTACATACACACAAATATATAAAACTTACATAAGCCAACATGTTGGTCACAATAAACGAAGAAAAAAAAAGAGAGAAGGTATAGTTGGGAGTAAAAATATCAGAAATTTCTAGTATATATGATTTGCTGAGATTTCCACTGTGTTTTTGTCTACTCAAGAGCTTACAGCTTTCATAGAAAAATAACTAAGTTTTCCAACTCTGCAAGGGCTGACCATGATTTCCAATGAGTTGTAAAACCTGGACCACAATCACGTTTCATGACACTCTTACAGAAGAGCAGGATTGCCAGTCGTGGGCTCTTGGCCAAATTCCAGTTTAAATAATTACAATCTGCTTCCTCTTCCTCTCTCTTTCCATCAACTGCAGCATGGCTTAGAAGAGCATACTGCCCTGTTCTACAGTTTCACACTTTGCATGGAGACATCTGCTCTGTCTCACGCTGGATATGACTGCATTTCGATGCTAGAAAATGGGAGTCTTCCAAACCCTTTGTAATTTTTTAGAGTATTTGGGGGTGTTTCAGAATGACAAGCAGAATTTAAATGTAAAATGAGTATCTTAATGCTCTGAGTTTCTTTCAGTATATGTCAAGTCAATGTTAAGTAGATCTAAATCATTCCTTTTTTTATTGACTCTGTTAAGGAGTTTTATAAACATATATTTTAAAAGGCTTTTAAATCTCTGTGTATCTTTTATTTGTATAGTTAGAAAGATTTATTATGATCTGGAATCCATTAAATAGTACTCAAGTACTTTGAATAGGCATTAGGCATGTCTACAAGATTGAGTGTAGAAACCCCAGAGCTGCAGAGCTCAGTGTGCACCAGGCTCAGCCTAAGGTAGTTGCATTGCTTCCAGAGCAGACCAGGCTAACTTCTGTCCAACTCAAATCCTGGGTAGAGTGAGCTAGTGTCAGTCTGGTTCCATCCATGCAGGTGGACTCCAAGTGATGTACAACTACTTACTAAGGCAAGAGTGTTTGAACCATTAGACTGTACAATTATAGCAAGATCTTCATCATTTATTGGCTTTATTAAAAACAAACAAACAAAAAAAGAAGCTTGTTGTTTGATTATATTCAGAAATTTCAGAATTCCCAATGGAAAACAAAGTATTTTCCAACCAGTGATATTTATGAAGTAAAAGATGGCTTGGAAATTAACCGGATTTTTTTTTTTTTTTTAAAGAATCAGCAAAGAACTGGCAATATTGATTTTAAGGTATTTCATTACTTAAATGCACTTTTGGAGCATCTGACTGATAAGGAGAGGTTGAAACAGCTGGGACTGCTTAGCTTGGAGAAGGGAAGGCTCAGGGAAGGTCTCATCAATGTGTATAAATACCTGATGGGGAGGAATAAAGAAACCAGAGCCAGGCACCTTGCAGTGATGCTCAGTGAACAGAGGCAATGAGCAGAAATTGAAACACAGGAAATTTCATTTATAAGAAAAATCTTCTGTAGTGGAAAACTGGAACAGGTTTCCCAGAGAGGCTGTGGAGCTTCCATCCTTGGAGATACCTAAAACCTGATGGGGCACAGCGCTGAGCACCCTTCTCTGTAGGTGACTCTCTAGGAGCGGGGCATTGGAGTAGATGATCTCCAGAGGCTCTGCCAACTTCAACAATTCTGTGATTCAAATGTAATCTATTCTATCAAGTATGTAATTCCTATCTGAACTTAGAAAAGCTGCCCCTGTCAGAGAATGGCCATATGTCAGAAGGTAGGTTACTGCATTAGAAAAAAGGGGAGATCCCTTTTTGCCCTTACGCATTCCTGTTTCAGTGTTGGTCAAGTCTTTTCATTAGTCACTTTTTCTTTGACTAAAAAGATATTGGGGGCTTATAGCTGAAGAACTGATGTTTTGATATGCAGCATTGAGTAAGAATAGATGTACTTATGACAAGAGTTGGTGGACATTTTGGAAAGTTTGTCTCACAGGGCATCAAAACTGACTTCCTTGTGGGATAGCTGGACAGGTGAAATATAATAAATGGAAGTTTGCCAGGAAAAGATGTGTTGATTTGTAAGAGAACTGACAGGACCTTCTTAGAAAAGGCCCTTCAGGGCTGTAATTTTTTTAACGGTACCATGGGAGAACTATGCTGTAATTGACATGTGGATTTTATGAGAGATGAACAAGTTAAATTGCACTGAGTGATTTAGTTTAGTTTAGTTTAGTTTAGTTTATGTCAGTTTATTGTGGGCAAATGCATGTCAGGTATAGTGCTAATAATACTAGGTGGGTATGTTTACTTTTTAGTTTAAAATATTCAAAGTCTCCATGTTTTCTTTCTGAAGAATGTCTACCTTTTTATGTACTTCAACAGGGATTGAGTTATAATAGTGTCTCTCATTGAATTAACTTGTACAGTAAATATGAATCCCTGATCTCTCAAGATTTTCTGAATAATTTTTTTTCTATAACCTAAGATGAACCTAGTGCATCTTTGGAGGGTAAGAAGCAAAGGAATACCTTGTTTGTAAGGTGAGACGTGATAACGTATACACTTTCCTCGATTTTATCCCATTAAGATTTGTATGCATTTAGAGTGACCTTGAAGTAATAATTCTGTTGTTCAGAAAACTTTGATTTTTCTGGACTTCTTGAAAAGAAGGAAGGAAGTTGTGAAACTCATATCGTATGTATACAGATGTCAAGTACAGTTAATGAAGATAAGCAGATGCATTCCTTAAGACTAATTAAACAGGA